TAACGAATAAAGAAGCTTAATATCGAAATTTGAACGCTAATGGCGATATCATAAACTATGTTGTTTGATGTTAAATAAAATTGAAATTTCATATCTTTAAACGCTACTTTTGTTTCTGTCAACATTTCTTTCTGAAAATTTTAATTTAACCTTGTCAATTGCAAGAATAAAAAATAACTTTCGAATTCTAATTGCTAATTGCTCAAATATCATCGATCTGCGCTATCTTTAGAGGTCCAGCGATGCTCTCTTCATTGTTCGTTTCACCAGAAAACAATCCCCAATACCTGCCGAATATCACATATTGCTGAATTGAGTACGCTCAAATTTGATAGCCAATTAGCTAATCAAGCAGCAAAAAAAAAAAAAACGTTGAAAGGTATTTTTGCTAATCTATCTCTTAAAATTTTTCAAATAAATTTTTAGTGACAATGAATACTTATTATCTGTTACAGCTTTTTAAGTAGTCCCATTTGAATTACTAAAAAATAAGTTCATCTCTTTATAGCTCATAAAGTAATAAGCGGAAATGTTTTGTTTGTTTTCATAAAATTATAAGTTTTTAGCTGCCATTTAAGCATGGAGTATGATTTGTGTAAGTAATATTTTTTAAATATAATTAATATTTTGCACGAAAACATATTATTCCAGTTTTTTTTTTTTGATTTCACCGACTATTTCTGTTTTAGCTTTGTTAAAAAAATGGAAGAATAAAACACCTGTGGGGACAAATTTCTATGACTTAGGCTTTGCGAAAGCCAAAAATTCGAGAAGATTGCTTAAAGATGTAATATTTAACGAATTGGATAAGATTGTGAGTTTGATTTTTTTTTTCATTTCACTGTATTTTGTTTTTTTTTCTTCGTTTTTACCTACTTCATAGCATCATCATTTTGTGTGCGAAAGTTACAGTTGTGGTGAATTACCACGTACGACTTGACGTTTCTTTTAGCGTGCCATTTGTTTCCTAGCTTGCTGATTATACTATCAAAATTAAGGAGTAAAACGATCATCGGTACACGGTAATTGAAAAGCTTCGCAATAATACCATTATTCATTTTTTCTTCAATTTTTTTTTTTTTTTTTTAAACATATCTGATAGATTCATATTAATAGTTTCCAGAATTCCTTAATTCAATTCCTATAAATGTTACTTATATTTTATCATTCGTCGTATTTTATTTTTTTACTATCAAAATAAACGAAATCCAAAAATATTTAAAATTATATTAAAATTATATCTAATCGTATCTTATTTGAAGTTATATCCGTACTGTCAAGATAAACGGAAAATGAACGAGAGTTCACTTCAAATATCCTCGCAAATCTCAATTGCTGATTTTATCAGTTCAGAGCTGTCTTCAATCTTATTGTCACTGATTGATTCTTCTTGTTAAATGGAAAATAAAACTGATATGGAAATTCAATGTTTGCTACATGTTTTTCCTTATCGGATGCTTTTCCTCTTTTTTTTTGGTCTAATTTTTAACGAATGATTAATTAATTAATTTAATGTCATCATTTTAATCATTCAAATTCTCAATTTCATTAATTTATCAAAAGAAAATTTTATCACAACAATTGGATCATTTTGCATTTTTTTTCCATGTATTTTATAATTCTATATTGTTTGCATGATTAAATTCATAAAATGAAATTAGAATTATTAGTTATAGCTTTGGTTATAATGATAATTTTGGATAATTAAATTTTGCTCCATTTTTTGCTTATAATCGTTGTTTGTTTAAGAAACAAATTTTCAATTATTTCATATTCAACGAAAATTTTCAATTACTTCAAACTTCCGTATTATGTCCGATTGAGAGATTTTATTTCAATAAAGCTTTTTTATTCCATAATAGTCAACTAAAAAAAAAACCCTTTGTTTTAATTATTAATTATCTTTGCAAAGTTAAAAATTAAATTTAAAAAAAGCGAAATTATTTTATTTTCGACACAATCCAGATTTTGGATTGCATTTCTTCGTAGCACAATCGCTATCCTTTTTGCATGGTTCGCCAAGTTCATATATCAAATCTCCCTGCATATTTCCGCTGAAATTTTAATCCTTGAATTTAAATTAAATGAAACATATAGGATTTACTTAATACAAGGATGAAGAAGGACTCAACTCAGATTGAGGAATTTGTTATGATATAAATTGGAAGTTTACGAAATAACAAGTGCTTAATGCTTAATGACAAACGATAATTATCAACATAAATAATTAGGAGTAATTTGCTTTGACAATAATGGACAAGACTTACGCAGGCTTATACTGACAAATGACCATGAGCGTACGACCACCATCGCAGTATGTAGCAATACCGCAGCCAATTTCATGCGTTTTACCCCAGGCCATCTAAAAAATCAAACATTTTAAAATAAAATTTACGTGAAATCCATTCCCGGAATGTAAAGGATTATCTGATGCAAATTATATGAAAAAGGAATCTTTCATATAATGATTAAATTTTTAGAACAATTTCTGGCTAAGTACAAGCGTGTCATCAAGAAATATAACAAATGGCTTTTCATGTTTTGCTTAATGAACATAAAGAAAAGAAGCCTAATAAACCATTGCACTAATAGGCCAGGCTACTTCCATATAATGATTAAATTTTCAGAACAATTTCTGACTAAGCACAAGCATCATAAAGAAATATAACAAATAACTTTTCAAGTTTTGCTTGATGAAAATAGGGAAGAGAAGCCTAATAAACTATTGCGCTAATAGACCAGGCTATTGTAAGCTCTTCAATACCTCGAGATCACAGAAGATGATGTGTGCAACTAATAATAACCGTATATTATCTTAAGTATACATTAATTTTTTTTTTTTTTTTTTACAAATGCTTTGAAAAATGTAAGAAAAGATGTAACTCTTTTATTTTCATTTCTACAAAAGTTTCCTTACCTGTGTAAAATGCAAAGCACCGAAGCTAACATTAGCAGTCAACATATTTGGTGGATTATTTTTGTATACTTTTGGAAGTTCTTCCCACCAGCTTTTGCCAGCATCTGTACCAGCATTATTTTTTCGACCTGAAAACGAAATTTTTGTTCATTTATTTTTTGGTGATGCACTTTGTGATCTTCGTTAATATCATTATTACTATCATTATCATTTACTATTATTATTATAATTATAATAATTATTATTTATTATTATTTTTATCATCATTTTTATACCGTTATTATTAAATTTTGTTAATTGATTGTCAATATTTCATTTATCAAACTTTCATCAACAGAAATGATATGATTTTATCAGAGAAGTTTTGTAAATCTTCACGTATCATAAATAAATGTAAGTATATTTTACTTTCAACACTCGCTGATGACCAATAAGCATAGACATTTTCACCGATTCCCACTCTGAGATGTCTTGGTGAGTGTCCAAAAACACACTGATCTGCCCATCTTTGCGCGGAATTTTCCAGTTGACAGTTCCACGTCTGAACAAATGATAATTTAATAAAAAAAAAAAAGGACTAATATCAATGCTAATGCTAAATAATTCGATTGCTATTTTACACAGCATGAAAGAGGAAGTATAAAAATTCATTATTTGAACTTTTATTTTTTCTTTTTTTTTTTTTTTTTTGATATATCATTACCAATTGGAGCATATTCTTTCCACGTGGCATATATTTGCCATCTTTATTTTTAAGCTTTCCCTTAATCAATCGTGAGCGCAATACATTATTCTGACGAACGATCTTTTCACGTTGCTTTGGCGTTAGCTGACCTCCAGGACAGTTAAAACTTTCCACAGCTGCAATAATTTGAACTGAATCATCATTTCCTCGAAATTATATGAGATATCAAATATTCTTAATTACGATCAAATACTAGATTTTTTTTTTTTTTTTTTAGATTATTTAGTATTTATTAGTCATGAAGAATGCCATATATGAATAAAATTTTCATTAAACATACCAATGATAATTGCGGCAAATACAATGAAAAGTGATGGTAACATTCTATTAGATTTTACGGTAGAATTTATGCTGCTTATTCTGAAAAGATATATTTGATAAGAGAAAATATCGCTTAGCGATATACAGTAAATGATGATTTGCTGACTGAAATTTTATCCTCACTGATTGCCTTTTATAGCTTTTAAATTGTATTTATTTAAAGGCTCTTTGAAACTTCTACTGTTTGCTTTCAACGAGCTGCTCAAATATTTTTTTTTATTTTTTATAAACTAAATTATTATTTAAGACAGCTGCACAAATTTTCATCGTTTTTATTATCTTTAAGTTTCCGTTTT